TCCAGGCAGCTCAGAAATAGTGAAGTGTGGTGAGAATCACTTTTTTCTAGGAGAAAAGGAACCCCCTGACTTTTTGCCCACCAATTCATTTGCTTCCCAGTCTCCTGTGGCACCACTATAAGTACACGCTGCTGCAGGGACAAGGCATCTGCCGTGGGTGCCAGCAAGCAGAAAATCTGACAGGAGCTGGAATAAGACCTCCCACTTCTGCACTTGGCCAGGTCTGGCTGGGTATCAGTTCATTTACTAGCACACTCTCTAGAGAGAAGAGGAGGCTCTGCTCTTGGTCCTGAGACTTGATGAGAGAAGAAACCTCTGAACGTAACTGGAAGAGTGAGCTGTGCCACATGATCAGTCTTCTACAGCTCTGGTAAAGTTGGACAGAGTCAAGCTTAGGGACAAAGACAAAAGACTTGCTAGTTAACTGTTTGCTAATGAAAGACAAGTGCTGTATCCAATATGCATTACAAGAACATAGAGCACAGCCACACGGGCTTGCAAAACGTCTTTTAGCAGGAAAAGTGAATGGAGACTCTTTGAAATTGCTTCACCTTTTCAAGGAGGCTATTGCAATTGTTTCAACTTTCAGCAAAAAGCACACAAGGGGTAGCAGAAAACCACCATTTGCATGCAACAAATGAAGAGCAAGGCATTTAGAAACTAGCATCAAAACTGCAGGAGGCAGTCTCTGGAAGGGCTGGCTCAGTCTGGCCCCACCTCTGAATGCTACAGTTACTGATCATCTTTTCTGAAGTGAAGCCCACAGAAATAAGGCTCGGAAGGTGCACTTCACAAACACTGTTATTGCCCCAATGGCACCTCGAAATTTGAAAACCACAGATGAGGAAGGAACTCTTAAGCCTCTGTTTTGAGAAATTCTGCAAGATAAATCTGAGCTAAAGAAGGTTAAGAGTGAGCTCAGCAGAATCAAAATTAATTGTCTTAAGTTAAGGGCACACACAGTTTGAAATGGTGAGACCAACCCTTATTTTCTTCATGAAACCACAGAAGGAAAACCCAAGAAAGGCATCAGGAGGGTGTAATCACCCCAGCTTTTACAAAAGCAAGCAGTTCTGAGGGCCTGGGGATGCAAGGGCTTCTCCCTCAGGCAAAGCATGTTCAGTGAGTGTTCCTTTGCCAGTGAACAGGGCCAGGAAAGATCTCTCTACCTCGAGCAGACTGTGTGCTTAATGAAAGGCAACTGCTATTTTAAGGTTTCATAAGGGATTTTATAACAAAGAGGAGGTGCAGACACCATCCCCATTACCACCAGGCTTCCATCCTCTCTTTCATCTTTCTCACTGAGCCAGCTCTCAGAAACTTTAACAGACGGGTAGAGCCATCAAATGAAGGTTAGTTGTGCAAAGCCTTGGTCCAGCCCTGTTCAGCTATTATGCCTTAAATTAAACTGAAACTAAAATGGTCTCTTTTATTAAAGTGCTATAATAATTGTGGCTACAATCCCTCACCATGGTGTAAGTAGTAATAAGCTGATCCATGTCACCATTGCTGATAGCTGTCAGAACTTCTTTATCCAGAACTGGAAAGAAAAATAAAACTCCCAATTATTCTCAAAATGGAAGGATAACCCCTTTTCCAGGGTGGAGACATGAAAGATTAATTTTCTTCTCTGTTCTGTCAAGCTGTGTTGAAGATTTATTTAATGCATTATGTGCATTGCATTAGGTTTCAGAACTCACAAGGAGGGTTACAAGCTGTGTGAAAAGTTAAGGTAAAAAATTTAAGGCTCCTGTGAAGCCATTGGCAAAACTTTAAACAAGAGGCTCAGAATTTGACTCTTGGTCTTTCCTTCAGCTTTTGTAAAGATTTTCATCTAGTAATTGTGCCTGTGGGCTGACTGGGACCCATGCTGCAAACATGACTTCTGCTCTCACAATGAAAAGTTTCACAGTTAAGCTACTCTCAGCACCACACGTGAACCCCACGCACGTCCTTCCAGCAAATTATCTTTTGACCCCCACAAACATAATCTGGTAAAAGTCATCTGAGGCAATGATATGCTTTTGGCTCTCTACTGAGACACTGGTTTTGGTTTTCTTTTGTGGAGAGCATTATTTAAAATCCCTCAAAGCAGAGCTATTTTTTTAACACTCAGCAGTGCCAAGGGATGAAGCTGAACCACAGCTTGGATCTTTGCAGTCCTACAACAGCTGCACAGGCTGCAGCATCCAGACATGGGGCTCTTGTCCTGCACCACGACTGAGGCAAGAACTGCAGCTCCAAAAGCAAGCACCTCCCTCTGAGCTCCATGGCTTGGTGGCGTGGAAGGAACCTGGGAAGGGATGAAGCTGAATGGGGGAGACTCCCTGGGAATGTCGAGGATGCGTCAAGTCAAGGGGGTGAGGAGAAGGGAACCTTGATGGCCAGGAGGAGGACAGCAGGTCACGGACATGGGTGGTTGGCCATGGAGAAATGAGGCAGAAAAAGAAACATGAGGTAGTAAGAAGGCATGCTTCCAGCCTGTCTTCTTTGCAGGTTGAGATCCAGGTCGGTTTCTGCACAGGGAATCCTAGTGAATTCATCTCACACTTTAGGAGCTGGACACTCACTAATAAGGCTTGGCCTTAACAGCCTTTTTTTCTGTAACATTTCCAAAAGCCTCTAGAAGAGCATGTAGCTGCTGTCAATAGCTGCTTCTTTTCTTGAGAAAGGTGAATGTGAAAAAAGCTCTGCCCAGTGCCAAAATTTTCCTCACAATTTAACATCCTGAAAGTTTGCAAAATAATCAGTTTCTCTTTGCTCTGAATCCAGACCCTGTTGTATAAGATGGGTTAAGATCAGTTTGCCAAAAGACTCAAGGACTTTCATTTTGCACTGACTCAGAACGTTCTACGGAGCTTAATGTTAGTGACTAAAAAGCTTAATGTTACTGAATAAACAGACACTGCTTGTCAAGTCAATCGTACTTGTTCATACGAAGATGAAACATTCAGTTTTTCATTTTTTGGGTTTTTTTTCTGAGATTTGAGAAGTAGAATGGTATTTTAAAATCTTAGAATTTGAATTAGAATTTTATGAAGCTCTGCTACTCTAGAATTGCTAAATGTGAGATTAAGCCAGTACACAGTCCCTCTACAGGGACGAGTACAATAGATCAGCAATCTCACTACACACTCCTCATGCCCCCACAGAAACACCATCTCTGCACACTGAAATGGAGTAATTGGGTGTGTAATTGGCAGTGGTTAACTGTAGCTGTTCTGATGTGCTTGTAGCAGTTTTAACAGGAGCAGATGGATGCACTCATATGTTGGAGCAGGTCAATAAAGCAAAGCATGCTAAAATGTGTGGTCAGAGCATAAAGCAGAATTTGTGCCAATATTGCTAACCCAGGGCACATAAAACCCCAAAGACTGGCTTGAAGTGACTGCATTTTTCAGACTAAAAAAAGTGTCTGTTTCTTTTGCATTAGTGATTTGATTGTCCTCTTCAGTCTGCAGGGGTATTCTTTCTTTTGCAACCACAGAGTTATTCTTTTGTTTAAAAATGTGACATCAAGAGCAGGAAATCATTTTTGACAATATCCTTTTGAACCCAAAGTTCTCAGGGACTAAGAGAGAATTTAAGACATCATCATACACAATTCTGGCCCTCAGATTTGTCACTATGGGCCACTGTCAGAGACAGGAGACAGAGTTCAGTGGGCTCTAGCTGGCACCCCTACAGCTGCTCATATGTGCACACACATTGTGTCCTTGTCATACTTCTAAGCCCAAGAAACCTCCCTTTAGTAAAGGACAAATGCTACCCTTGAAGTTGGTTCCTTCCTAGGTGTCCTTTGTAGAGCTGTCAGTGCAGGTACAGTTGGAATAAGCAAGCAGAACCTGTCCTGTGTGCAAGCCATGTGCTTCTCTTGGAGATGCCAACAGCAATGGCCAGAAAATTGCTCCTCATATTTCCAGGATTTGGTTCCAGAACCCTGAGCTGGGCACAGTCTGACAGTAAGTTTAATTCTTCACCTGGCAAAGGGAACAACCAGTTCTTTTTTCCTAAATAGTGACTTTCACAAGGAATCTTTCACTGCATCTATCACTGTCATAGGAAATGCAAACTCAGAGCAAGATGCAGGAAAATGTTACTGTATCACCACAACTCCATAGGACAGGTCACTGCAGATACAAACCAAGTGAACACTTCTGCATGCCTGGCACTGAAGAAAACCCATTTTGCTACCCACTTCATCCCACTTCTAAAAAACCCTCTCTGTGGGAGCTTCTTGTCACAGGGCTCGCACATACAGAGGAGCTGTTTCCAGGCAAACTACCATGGCTAAGAAGTGCAACAGTCAGTCAGCACCTTCTTCACCTGCCTGCCCTTCTTTAAGTACACCCAGGGGGCTTGGTTAGGGCCCTGCCAAAGCAGAAGTTAGTGCAGAGGGGCCAGGCTGAGAGATTGCTGGTGTAGACACAGCACACACAAATCCTGCTAAGTAGTGAAAGTTGCTCCCTTTTCAGACAAGCACCTAAACCAACCAGCAGGGATTGCCTTCTGAGGCCTGTTCACATTTCTGCAGCAACCTCAGGGGAAATAAGGACTAGTGGAAATCAAGGACTTAATTCTTAGAGGGGCAAAGGCAGGTGAAATTGGTTATTTCATGTTTTGGTTTCTAAATGTGTCCTGGGAAAATACACGAGGTGGAATAAATTGTGCAAAGGCTGTTCCACAGGAGTGATGGATGCAAACATGGTAGAAATATTGCCTACATTTCAGAGAAGAGGTCTGCCAGTGAAGTTACTCTAAGCATGCAGTTGACCACTGTCTGTCATCAGCTGAAACGTTTTGAAGCCTCCAGTGAAGGCGAGAGCCCCTTGCCCCCATTCCCCAGCCCTCCTGATGCAGGCTGACCTTCCCCAGCTTCATCAGTGTCCAGGAGATCCCACACAGCTGCAGGGGGCTGAAGGGCAGCTGGGCTGCAGACCTTCCCTGCTGCTCTCAGGTTTCACATCCCCTGAAGTTTTAGGATGAAGAAATAAACTTACCTGTTCAAATCCCGATGGATGATGGGCTGTGTGAGGTTGTGGAGGTACTCCATGCCTTTGGCCACATCTACAGCAATGATCAATTTAGACTGCAGATCAAGAGTTCTGTATTTTGAAAAACAGAAAATTACTCACAGTTAATAAACTGACAGAAATGTCTGTAAACTGTTCTTATCTGTAAATCATGGAGCCTTTAAAATAGTTTTAAATGCCAAACAATGTTCTATACTGTATGTAAAGGTCTAATCTAATGTAAAATAATGACTAGCAATTTTGCAATGACTTATTAATTTCCCTTCTACACCAAACAAGCTGAATCAAAGCTAAATTTTTTCTAGTGTGCTCCTTTCTTTATTGCTTTACACCAAAACAGAGTAACATTTACACTAGCATAGGTTTACTAGTCTTCCCAGTCCTGTCCCCCAGGTGCAATACCTCTTCTGCTCGTGCAGCAGGGAGAAGAGTGACCCTCCAGAAATGTACTGCGTGACAATAGCAAACTGGCTGGGGTCATCCAGGCAGGCTCCCACAAACTGGATGACACAGGGATGGTTCAGTCGGCAGAGGATGGAAACTTCCCGGCAGAACATGTCCACGTCGGATTTGGAGCAGTAGGTGTTGGCTCGATAGCTTGGGATTTACAAGAGAGGCAAAAATGTCATCAAATGGGTTGGGTTTTTTTTGGTACTTCATCTAGGTGATGAACCAAACGAGAGGGGAAGGTCTGAGAAACTCACCGTTTGATCGCCACAATTTTGTTCCTGCATCGTCCCTTATACACCTTCCCAAAAGATCCTGAAATGATTTGAAACAAGTGGGCACAAGGGTATGTGGTGTGACCACCAGACATTGAGCTGGCATGCATTCTTGCTTTTGGTACCTGAGCCAATAATCTCATGGAACTCGATTTCAGAGAGCTGCAGGTGGAAATGAGACGGCAGCCCAGCGCGGAGCAGGAGAACATCTGCCTTCTCTGCAAAGAAAGCGCTGGTTTGTCACACAGGCTGCTGGGCAGGGCAGCAGGGGAGCATTCAGCTTCACAAAGCCATGGCACTGTGCAGGTGATGTTCCTGCTGTCCACTGGGAATCCCATTCCCTTCCCTCTCAGCAGCCACAGGAACCCCACTAACAGCTCTTCAGTGACATGTGGAATCTAAATTTTGCATCTTAATTTAGTGAACAAACATCTCTACCTTGCCAATCATTTTGGTTCGTTACTGTGAAGTTGATCAGAATGGGTCTAACTGGAACATCCCAGGGCTGCTATGTAAAGGATGTAAGGACTTGATTACACCCAGAGTGAATATCTGAAGTGGAAAATTCAAAGCACCACAAAAATGGCAATATTTAAAAGTACAAATACGAACCAGAATGTTTTATCAATATGGGGTTCAGGTGACCACAAATTATTTTGGGGCAGAATTTTTCTTGCAACAATAATCCAGGCATTTCATAGTGCAATTCAATATATTTCTTTGCATTCATGGATACTTGTGTATTTGATTAGTAATAATTCACAATCACATCCTTCTCTCCAAAGAAATAAAAAGAAATATGTTTTCTGAAGGAAATGAAAATAAGATAAATACAGAAATTATTATGATGTTGAGCAACAAAGCTGAGTATATTGTTTCCTGAAATTATCCCAGGGAAATACAGCTGCTGCTTATGCATATCTTTACATTTCTGAACAGAGAAAATTCCAGGAGTAATGAATCTTGTGCAGTATGTTGAGACACACAAACATCTTGGGTAAAAAGACCATAAAAGTTCAAGCTTTCCCTTGCCACTGAGCACACCTTTGGTCATGCTTTTGATCTTTCCTAGAGGGGATGGAACTGACACATAGGAACCATCTGAAAGAAAAGAACAGAACGAGTTATATGGAATTCAAAACCAGCATAAGCATCTGCACTGGTAAAATAAGGAGGCAATGGCTGCTCAAAGAATGAAAAATAAAGGGGTGGAAATACTCATAAGCACAGAAAGACAGATGGTTGTGCTGTTACATTGCTAAGTTCTTGAAAGAAATGTGCATACAGCTTCCCCAGCCTCTGAGGAACCAAAGTGACTTTCTGTGGTGCTGAAGCAGCCAGTGCAGCCTCTGGTGTCAGCTGGGCTCTGCAAAGCAACTCGGATGAGATGTCCAGGCTGAGGACCGAGCTGTGGGCACGTGGCACTGGTTAGTTCACTGACAGTTTTCCCAAAGCCCTCAGCTTCTCCAAGGACAGAAAACATCATCTGTTGTTTTTCTGCTTGAGTGGGAGCTGAGTTCTTTTAGAAATCAGCATTTTAAAATCTGAGTGTCTTAACTGCTTGCCAAAATAGATTTCCAGTAGATGCAGAACTTAGTCCCCTAAAGATTTACACACAGTTGAGACTTACTAAGCCTGAACCTGGAGCAGGTCCAACTAGGTGGGAAGCAGAGGGATGCTGCTGCTGACTCTAGGGTTCCTCCTGCCCATCACCTGGACTAGCCACACTGTCCCACAGACCCACACTCTCCACATGCTGCAAAACATCCTGCTTCTCTAACTGCTCCTGTTAATGCCCTTCTTGGCACTTGCCATTCAGATGCCAATAAAAATGATTATTTTTGTAGCAAAAAAAGCTTAATTAACTCTTCCCAAGGGGGAATTAGATATCCAAATATATTAAAAATCATGAAGGGGACTAACTATAGAAATACACTGAGTGTCAGCAATCAAAGAAACATCAGATCTGAAAAACATGAAGGGAATGGCTAAACAAGGCATTAGGGATGTCAAAAGGTATGAGTAATGATTTCTAAGGATTGATCTTCCTCTCACAACTTTTAGCTTTTCTCTCTAGAGAGTGATGCAAAGTGACAACTATATTTTAAGATAAAGGAAGACTTTTGACATAAATAGAGGGTACCTGGAAAACAGGGATTCTCAAGACACTGATTTTCTTTGCAGCAGACAGAATTGATCCAAAGCTCCTGAAGGTCTGTGGAGCATTCCCAGAGACTTCAGCAGCCTTTGGATCAGACCCTGCAGTCAGGCAATGAAGTGATTTCTCAGACCTTACCTCCTCCAGGTTGTGAGTATTCATTACAGGGAGATTCATCTTGGGGTCTTTTGTAATGCTTCAGAAGGGTCACAATGGCATCATGGCCTAAGGAAGAAGGAGGGAATCTAAGGACTTGCAGGTAAAAACAACAGTCTTTTTCATTTAAATTGACTTAAGCAGAATCAGGGGGTTAAAAAAAAAAAAAGTATAATGTGCCTACAAAACATGTAATCAAGGATATAACAGTGCTAATGTGAAACATGCTGTGATTTCTGACCCAAACCATTCCATGATTCCTAACTACAGAAATAAAAGGAAACACCTGCCAATAAAACCAGGTATGTTACTTTCACAAATTGACCTAGTCCTAAGCTGTGATCTGTGGCAACAGAAAAACCCCTGCTCCAGAAACCCCAATGTGGAAGTTGAAAATAGCCTTCCATAGACCTCACAAGGACCACCAGTGCTTGAAAATACCTGAGTTGCAGTGTCCCAAAGTGCACAGGATTTGTGCAGCGCGTTGTGCAGGTGCCGGGCTCGTCATCCCTCAGCAGGAGCCAGAGGGGAGCAGCACCTGCACAACATGCTCACCCTCTCAGGGGTCTGGTGCACAGGGTTCTGCTCAGCAACACCCAAAACTCTTTACCAGCTTTTCAAAGACAAGTTCTCCCTCGTTTAGCCAATACCCAGGTGACAGATGCTGTTGCCCCGGGGAAGATGAAAAGGGAACGGTGAGCTATAAATATCTGTAAAAATGTGGCTAAGGAACCCATGTTCCTCAGCTGGCAACTATTTCCCCACCAGAAAGTCCCAAGGTGGATGGAGGTGCCCAAGGGCAGGGTCCTGGTGACAGCCCAGAGCACCTTGGGCAGGCAGGCTGCTCCTGCCTCGGGAGGCAGGAGGTGACCAACAGCCTGGGTACCCAGAGGAAAGCAGAGGCTGCAGGGGCAGAGCCCAGCCCAGCCAGGGAAGCCTCAGGAGGTCTCTGAGGAGCCCTTTTATACCTGCCCCAGGGGCAAGAGTGCAATGATTGGCCCTCTGGGACATGACCCTCCCCTCAGGCACAGCTGCCCCACTCACCCGGGGGGTCCCGGGGCCAGGACAGGGCGTGGGCAGGAGGGTCCTGGTCCCCAGCGCAGCAGGAGCTTCAAGGTCCGTGCAGCCCAAGCCTGTCTGGGATTCCAGGAATGGCACTGTGGTGCTTCTGGAGGGAGCAGGAATATCCCAGAGCTCATGGAGTCAGAAACCCCCCCCCACATTGTCCACGTAGGACAGTGTGACAGAGCCATGGAAAACCCTGGCTTTGATCCCTGTTTGTAAGACATTCAGATGCTGACTCTGGAGTTGCTCCTCATCGCGCCTCCTTCAGCAACACAATTAAAGCTCCTCATGCAGGCACTGGAGGCAGAAAGAGCCTTTTGTCAACAGGCTGCAGGTTTTCTGATCGGTAAATACTCATGTCCTTGAATTTGTGTTGAATTAAACTGATGTTTAACAGGGTATCTGAGAAGATACAGAAAGGGCTGGTTTTCATAGCCCTTTGTGCCAGGAGCTGGAAAGCAGCTGGTGAGAGCTGCAGGTTACACAGGCTGAGGGCTCATCCTGTGCTGTTCTTCTCCTGTGGATTTTGTAGCAGAAACCAGGAAACTGACATACCTTTCTCATAAGCCCACATCAAGCAAGTCTGCTCATCCTTTTCTCCACTGGACCTGCTGGGATCACAAGCCACCAGGTTCATGTCAGCTCCATTATCCAGTAAAAACTGCACCAGTCGGATATGGCCGTGGTAGCAAGCAGAGTGTAACCCTGGGACAGCAGAGAGGAGTGGTGAGCACAGGGGCAGGGCTGGCAGCAACAGCTCCAGGGCATGCATGGACTTCCTCGGTACAGGAATATGTTATCAGAAATACCCGAGGAAAGAGGTGAAAACAGAATAGCAGCACTGCAAGAGCCAGCCTGCTGTGCCCCAGGTCAGCGGGTTCCCTGACACCTCCAAATCACACTCAGCAACTTTGTACGTGTGAAAAAACCCAAAAGGAAGCAAAGACAAGTCTTTCCTCTGCTCGTGGCTGGATCGTGGAGGTGTGCAGCCCTCCAGACACTGTGTCCCTGGCAGAACAAGGCGTGGGCCCGATCCTGCCTAGAAGCCTGACAGTCAGTTTTACTCAGCTCATTGCTCATGTACCAGCTAAGGGGCCTCTCACGTCCTCACTGAACTCTCATCGCTTCTCTGCCTGCCTGCAAACATCCTTCAGAACAGCTGGGTTCTTTCTGAAAGGTAACTGGGTGCTGATCCTCACATTTTTATGGGAATCACCCTGGAAATCCTGAGTGTGTGTGGCTTCTGAACGTGTTTGGTGCTGGTGTATTTGCCCATACACAACAGGGGTGATGATGATGTTACCTGTGTGTCCATCTCTTCCCTGGTGGTTGATGCTGACAACATTCTGGTCAAGAAGGAATTTCACGAGTTCTATGTTCTTTCCATAAGTGCAAGCACTGCAAAAATAAAGGGAAAAGTGAATGCAATAGTCCAGGAAAGGGCAAATCCTTTGGGTAGCCAAAAATGTAAAAAGAATTACACAAAGGTAAACCAGTAGTAATAGAATAAAGAATCTTTAGCAATGTGCAAATTTGTGATTAATCCACCCAAGCATGTTCATTTCTGTTGTTTCAGAAACATTGTAACTATTCTTACAGGAATTAATTTTGCACAGCTCTGCAAAACCAATACAGTCTGGTTTGCAGAGTGCCTCTTAAATAACAATTTACCAACTTACAGCCTGGTGAGCAGAGTGCTCTGCCATCTCATTTCTGATGTGCAATATCCAGCCTGCAGCAGGTTCCTGGGCAGAACAGGCTCCACACTCAACTTCCACAGTGGACAGAGAGAACACCCATTATTCAGATGGATGCTGAGGACCCTGGTGCCTTTCCTCCCTCTCTCCTCTGCTCCCTCTCTCCCCATTCACTATCTGGTCCTACCCCTCACCTCATCTCCTCTCCTGCATCTCCCACCCCTGGCAGGGTCCCTGCTGTCTCTGTTCCTCCCCTTGGATGTCATTTCAGTGCATGCCCTAGAAGAGGAATTCTGCTGGGAAGGGTGTTGCACATCTCACCTGTGGAAAGCTGTTTCACTGAATATATTTTCTTTAGTGAGACTTTCTGTTCCTGAGAGCTGAATGATTTCCTTGACAATTTCCAACTTGCCGTTGTAGCAGGCACTGAAGATGAAGTCAGCAAAGAGTTATTAACACCACCAGCTTCCTCATCAGGCCCAAACCTTGTGCAAGAGCTTCTCCAGGACTCACAGGTGCAAAGGTGTGTCTCCATAGATGTTCACCACGTGGGGCTGGACTTCAAAGCTGCTCTGCAGTAAGAACTTGACAATTTCATGGTGTCCAAATCGACAGCAGAAGTGCAGGGGAACATGATCTTCGTTGTCCTGAGCATTCACTGCCATTGCACCCCGAGAGAGACCAAAGAAAGTGCTTTACACTTACAACTGTTTTGGTATTTAGACATGCTCTATGTGTTGTGCATATGTTATAGAATCTCCTGCTAAAACATTTATGGTTTCATTTCTATAAAACTGAAATTTCTGTGGGCACTTGGAACAGCAGCTACCAAAAACAAACAGTAGGGAGAATTGTCCTTCACTGTTGCTCTTAGGAAAGGAAAATCCAGTTGGATTTGTTTTACTTAAGGTAAAATCCAGTTGGATTTGTTTTACTTAACTTACATAGGTTTATGTTAACTTCCTGGACTAGCAGGATCAAGGACTAAAATTAGTTATGCAGTGACATAAAAGAAATTTAACCAAAGTGGAGGAGACACAATAAGGATACATTGTTCATAGTCAGTATTAAAATCTAAGTCCATAAAAGGCAAGAAAGGAAGAGGAGAATTTATTGAAAAGTCTTGATATCCAATGTTTTCCATTTGCTCTATGTCTCCTTTTCCCTGCAAGGATCTCAGGGACGTGTTTCATGTGTTTAGGATCATGAGAGTGTTCTTTGACGTAACATGGAACTATATAAAAGAATGGGCAAAACAGGAGATCTAGTGCATTCCAGCCGGGTGGGAAGGGTGTTTATCTCTGCTGGTTCAATCTCATTTCACATGGGAAACAAACACTGTGTAATACAAAGGTCTGGTTTGGTTTCAGAGGTTTGCCCTTCAAGTGCTTCATCTTAAAAAATCTTTGTGTGTGTTTTGCACACAACTTATACAAATATAACCAATAAAAGTATTTTAAAATAAATCTCTGAAGACCAGTTCTTGTGTCCTTCTACCTGCAAAACCAGTTGCTTCAATCAACACACAACAGCATAAGATTAAAACCAAAACAAACCTGAAACTAACTGATTCTAAATTTCTCTCAAATAAGCACACGTGCACCAAGGATTTGCCTTTGGGGTAATTTCTTTAGCTCCTGGCTGGTTCATATTCTCTGACATTCTGGGTGAAATAGGGGGGCAGCTGTAGGATAGAAAATATCAGCAACCAGGGGATTTAAAAAAAATGAGTGGATTCAATTGTCTTTCAGCAAGACCAAGAGTCTTTCTTGAAGATTTGGGTCCCAGTTCAGCAAAGCCCTTGGAAAGCCATCAGCAAGTGACCTGTTAGACCAAAGTGTAGCTTCAGTTGGCTGGTGGAAGCAGAGCCACATTTCTGAAACCATCTGATTTTACCTGCTGCTGTTTCAGTACAGCAAAGACTGACACACCCTTTATCATTAACTTCTGTGTTAAAATGCTTCTGTAATAGCACAATGTAGACCAAACAATTCTTAGGAATAGCTGTTACCTGGTGAATATCAGTGAAAATCCCCTGGTGCAGGGACACACAAGTTCTGCTCACTCAGTTTTCCAGGAGAGCATCTCTTTCTGTGACACTTAATGCATTTCCCTCTATGTTTACAGACAGAACAACCAGAACTGGTTGTTATCATAACTGATAGGACTGGAAAATCCAGTCTACTTTGTGCAGCTTTTAGTTTGGAATTCAGTCTGGTACCAGATCCCTGAGGCAGTTTACAAGAAAGGAAAAGCCTGCTCAGGAATAATCTGTCCAGCAGAGGTGTCCTCACTTGTGCCATGCAGGCTTTTAAGCTCCATTTTTACAAACATCTCTCAGGAACAATTCTATCCTTGGGAGAAAGGGTAATCCAGACATATTCTGTCTTCTTTTGATTGTCTGTGAGCATAAGGAAGAATTAAAATAAAAAGAAACAAAAATGAAAAGAATGAAAATGAATGGCTAAAAACCTCTCTGAAGCAATGCTGAATGCTCACAGAAACGGGCAGTCCTTTAAGTGAGCTGAACTTACAGCTTCACTGATGCCTAGTGACAGATAGTTCCAATGATGAATTATATTTCAGGCCAAGGAAAAGGAAAAAAAGGGCTTTCTGCAACTTACATTAAGCTTGTGGCCTGTGAATTTCATTAACTGCCCCCACTAACCTCCCTAGCAGTCTTGTATTAAAGAAAGTAAGGAAAATGAAACTGTTTTATTTCTCTATTCTAAAATAATTCTTCACTTTATAGATTCATTTGACATGTTAGCCTTTATTTTTTATTACGATGCTGTACCAGACACAGATTCATTCTGAGGTGCAATAAACAACTGGGAAATAAATGTCAAAGTTTTATAATAATAAATGTCAGCATTCTAGGATATGTGCCCACAGGATGGCCTGAAGGACACCAAGGCTCTCAGGCCCATGAGCTTCTGCAACACAGCAAGGGGTAAGATGGAACAAGGGAGAAATAATTTATCTTTCTTTTCTTTATGCAGTTACAAATTATGTCTGGAAGGATTTATAACTACCGCATCAGATGATGGCTTTTGTTTTAATTGATAGGTTTTTTATTTAATTGATAGGATTTTTATCAACCACAACAGGTTAAATTGTCTTAAAAAGAAGCAGTTCTGAGTCAAAACAAAACTAAAATCAGTCAAAAACACTTCAGAAGAGAGTTATGGGAAAACGTACTTAATATTGATACAGGTATTTCTAAAGAAGAGTACAAGAGAGTTCTTAAAATTAAGATTTTAAAGTATATTTATATTAAATTGAGGATAGAGAGAACAACTGTAATTGCAGTCAGAGACCGAAAATTCAGGTTGCCTTACAAGTAAACAGTGAATATAAGTAAATGCTAAGCTCTTGTCTGGCACAAAATGGAGTGTAGAAAGGCACCTGGAGAGCTGGCTGCTTGTGACATACGGGCCTTGTACACGTGGCCACTTGTGACAATGCACACACGGGCACTACCGTTCTGCTCTGTTTCTGTGGTTCCCTGTGGATGGGCTGAGGAGCTCTGGCTGTTGCCAGGCTGCAGATGTGGTGTTTTCCAGCAGTGTCCTGACCTCCTGAGCCTGGCCTGGTGGCCACTGCCCTCCTGCAGCTGCCACTGCCCCCAGCTGGGCTACGGGTCAGTCAGGTCATGGTAAGGGAAATCATACAAGTTTATGGCACCAATTACTGCCCTGCACAGGTACTGCCAACAGCTCTCCAGGTTATTTCACCAATTACTCTCATTCCTAAGCATTGAAGAGCTGCTCTTCCACTGCTCTGTTTATACCAAGTTTCAAAGTCTGCTCCTTTGAGAGCGAAAGACTTTGTGCTCCCAGGGTCCTTCCCTTTCCAGTGCTGAAGATGCTGATTTTAAAGCAAAGAATCTGAAACAGTGTCCCAGATTCTTTTCCTTTTGGAACAAGCTGTCTAAGCAATGGTGAACCTCCCACTGCCTTGTGATGGTGAGGGAAGGTCTTTTCTTTTCCCCTCTTCGTTGCAATTAGATCAGCTCAGTGCTGAAGCATCTAGAGCTCGTGGCTGAAAATAATCCGAGTCGGGCTGTTTCCCCCCCAGCTTTTTTTGGCTGCCTGGGTAGTTAAAAGTCCTAGCAAGGAGGAGATCAACTTGGGATATCCTCAGACAAAACCCTAACCCCGCTGAAATTAACACAAGTTTTGCCATAGACTTCCAGGAGACCAAGATTTCACCTTGTACATTGTGTCATTTAAGTTAAAAAGAGCAATGATGTGGTCCAAAGAGCAGCAATGTACTGTAACTTAAAAAAACAAACAAACAACTATTCAGAGGATAGGAAATTAATTTTCAAATAATTGTAATGCTGTTTAGCATTTTAAAAATTCTGCATTAATAATAATAAAAATATGCACAAAATTTGACTTCTAAATGTAAAGGTTTGTGAGGCTTTGCAGGATGGCCCCAAGGGTGTGTGCAGATGCCTGAGGTACAAGTGACAGATGTGGAAAAGCAGGGTTGGAGGGTGAAACGTTTAGTGCCTCCTCCAGGACTGCAACAGCCCAAGGAGAGGAAACACAAGAGCAAGCTTGGGAGCTCTGCAGCACCACTGCCTGCGTGGCAACATGATTTACCTTGGACTAGGGCTTAAATTGTGGCACATGCAAAATGTCCAGCACTGAGCTGTGATGTCAGAGCTTTACTGGCAGCAGTGGGAGATCACCTGGGAAAAGAATGCAGAGATTCCCAACTTCCAGAGAATGCCAAAGGCTTAATAATAATAACAACAACAACGACTTTTGTATCCATTGAACCTGTCTCTCACACACACATTCTCATGCAAAATGTCCCACAATGAAGAGTATGAATCTTGTGCATCATGCAAACGCATGGGGTAAAAAAAGTCCATTTCCTGTGGAATTGCTTGTTAACCATTTGCAATTTCTCATCTGAATTATTTTTAGTTGCTTGCTGTATAATTTTACTTAAAATCCCTCGTCTGTGTCTCACTCACTTTGCATTGAAGTGATTTTGACTGGAGATACAAAAACTCAGCACGTGGCCTTTGACTGGATGATGTCTCAGCAGTAACCTACCTCTGTGTATTACTCCTAATTTTGTTTTCTGCTGATGTTTTTCAGGTCTAACTCATGAATGGAAACAGAACTCACATGAGATGACAAACCAGGCATACTTGAGAAGAAAACTCTCCAACTGCTGGTTTTTTGTTGCAGTTGCCCAGAGCTGATACACAAACACACACAGAGTGTGTGTGAAGAAGCTAAATTCAAGATTCAAGGCCTGACTCTGTCTATAAAATACCATGTTAGTGTTGACCTTCAAAATGTCTTTTCTTACCATCAGCTTTGCTTCCCTCTTCCACCAAGAGCTTTGTAATGTTGAGGAAGCCTTTGGCAGAAGCCAGATGGAGGGGCCTGTCTCCAACTTCACCGCTTGCATTCACGTCAGCTCCAAACTTCAGTAAGAGGTGGGTCACCTAAACATTTCATCAAGGCTAATTAAAATGTCACATGAAAATACATATTTTGATAACATGCAGTATTCCATTGGGTGATACTGTAAGTGGGCATCTCATCACAGCCAAAGCAGGGGGAGGAGATCCAATAAAACTCATTTTTAAGTTACATATCTATGAAAACATTAACATTCTCAGAAGCAAGAGCTCACTCATTCTCTCAGATGTTACACCTGGTCAAAGGCAAGACATGAGACCCATGTACTTGTTTCACTGACCAGTCAGCATAATAAAGCAAATGTCCCCAAAAGCCACAAAGCCAGAGCCTCACCTCCCTCCCTGAGCAGTGTCCCCTGCCACAAGGTCACAGGACTGACTGACTGACTGACTGACTGACTGACTGTGCAGAAGGGGCTGATGGCAAAGAAGCAACCTGGTCTCTCTGCCCAACATGCAAGGAGCTTCCTCATGGTACTGGGTGAGGAGGTGCACTGTGTGAAAAGAAGGACCTCAGGAACACACCCGTGGATCACCCTTGCTGTCACTCAGCCACAGACATTGTCAATCATCTGAGCCTCTGGACTCTGCCCTTTCAAAAGCTTTTCCTGCAACAACTCTCACTGCACTGGAAGTAACATGTCACTGCAATGAAGGGGACACTGCCTGGAGGTCACCTGTTGGAACTTGAAAATGTCCCAGAATAGATGCTTTTACCTGGAAAAAGGTCTAGGGAATGTCTTGCTTAAGCCAAAATAGCCCCATCTTTACATTTCACATAAAAGGGCTCTTCACAGCAAGTGACTGGACAGCCAGATTAACCATAAGTCAATCAGACTTTACTAAGAGAAAGAGAATTGGGAGGCTCAATGCCAGCTGTGGGCAGAACTTGGGATTATTTTTTCAATAAATCCATGATCTGTTGGAATGAGGCAAGTTCAGCTGGACTTGTCACGTTCCTCATGGAAAATCCTGCTCTTTACATGGTCATTTTTTCCATTACCTTAAAAGAGGCCACAATTTCATTTGTGAATTCCAAGGACAAGCAATGGAGTTGCCATTCAGTGGTTACTGGGAAGTGCTGTGCCCTTCCCTGGGGAGGATGGCAAAGAAGCAACCTGGTCTCTCTGCCCAACATGCAAGGAGCTTCCTCATGGTACTGGGTGAGGAGGTGCACTGTGTGAAAAGAAGGACCTCAGGAACACACCCGTGGATCATCCTTGCTGTCACTCAGCCACAGACATTGTCAATCATCTGAGCCTCTGGACTCTGCCCTTTCAAAAGCTTTTCCTGCAACAACTCTCACTGCACTGGAAGTAACATGTCACTGCAATGAAGGGGACACTGCCTGGAGGTCACCTGTTGGAACTTGAAAATGTCCCAGAATAGATGCTTTTACCTGGAAAAAGGTCTAGGGAATGTCTTGCTTAAGCCAAAATAGCCCCATCTTTACATTTCACATAAAAGGGCTCTTCACAGCAAGTGACTGGACAGCCAGATTAACCATAAGTCAATCAGACTTTACTAAGAGAAAGAGAATTGGGAGGCTCAATGCCAGCTGTGGGCAGAACTTGGGATTATTTTTTCAATAAATCCATGATCTGTTGGAATGAGGCAAGTTCAGCTGGACTTGTCACGTTCCTCATGGAAAATCCTGCTCTTTACATGGTCATTTTTTCCATTACCTTAAAAGAGGCCACAATTTCATTTGTGAATTCCAAGGACAAGCAATGGAGTTGCCATTCAGTGGTTACTGGGAAGTGCTGTGCCCTTCCCTGGGGAGGCTGGAGATGGCACATTCATGTTCCTCGTGCAGCCTCTGAACCGTGGGATCAACAAACAGCAAATAAAACACACATCTGGCTCTGAGCCTGTTTACAGGTGATCAAAGCTGGGGCAACACTCATTTGCTGCAGGAGGCCTGGAGGGGAAGGCACCAGGTTTCCTGGGGTCTTGCACAAAGGACTGAAGTGTAAACATTTCTGGTCGGTGCTCAGACTGAGAGCGACTGGCGCCCGACTCAGAAGTGCAGCTTCAGTTCGTGAGGCCTATTCATGCAAGGACCCTCTGGAAGGCAAAGCAAAACCACCCAGCACCAAGCCTAGAGATGCCTGGGTGTCCCACCTGCCACCTCCCCCCTGCAGGTACCTGCTCGTGGCCATGGTAGGCAGCGACGTGCAGCGGGGTGAAGAAAACCGCGTCCTGCACGTTCACGTAGGCCCCGTGCTGCAGGAGGACATCCACGGCCTGGCAGGAAACACACACAACACGCCCGTGAGCAGCCCTGTGTACGTGTGGCCAGCTAGGGAAGCAGGATCTGGACACCTTACATCACCAGCTAAAAAGAAAAGGAAGAGCAAAAAGCCCCAAACAAGCGAGCTGTAAAGGCGACGAGCTGGGTCCCGCCTGTAACGGTGACCTACCTACAGCTGAACACTGAATGTCACTGATGCCTGATAAATGGGCCTGGAAATGCGTTTAAAGGCTGATTTATGAAGTAAGAGGCACAGAAATTACTGTCTGGAGTTTTCCAGAATAACCTTTTGTTTTCTTTTAACCATTATGAACAAAGAGCAGCGAACAGATCAGAGTTTCTAGAAGTTATAGAAAACAACCCCAAAATGAAAGATCCTTTTAAATGCAAATGCATGAAGGTAAATCCTCAAGCACAATTCCCTCAGTGTGTGAAGATTTCTTTGCATTTCAGAAGATAACAGCCCTTTGGCTTCAATAATAACAACCCTAAAGGTTTTCTTTCCAGTTTCCACCCGTTTGGTCTTCCAGGAGGCCACTGTTCTCCTGGACAGCTCTGAGTGGTGGAGCCTTGGCTTTCTGAGCAGCTGCCAGGGAATGGGAGCCTGGGAACGGAGCCCCCTGGGCTGCACCTGCAGCTGGGGGTTTCTTGAGGCCTTCAGGCACACCCAGGGGCTCAGTCCCTGGGCTACTTGAGCGATTCACACATCATTGGGATGAGTGTTCATTTTTGAGTCTAACAATGACAGAGGATGCTGGACCCAGCTCCCCCCAGTGCAGGGAGCAACTGGGAGCCACCTCTCAGGCAAGAGTCAGGAATGGCAGGGGAGGGGAAGGGGCAGCTGTGCTGCTGACAGCCCTGCCTCCCCCGGCACACCCAGGGATGGGGCAGCTCCTGCTGCTGCCTGGAGGCTCCACTGCTGCCCCTGCTCCCCAGCTCATCTCACACATGCAGCAGTGGGGTCAGCCATTCACATCCCTGGCGTTCCCAAGTGCTGGGAGAACAGAACCTGTTACCAAGCAACATCAGTGAACAGGGATTATTTCTTTACACAGTTGAAGTGGAAATGCTTTTTTTCCACAGGACAGCCAGAGCACCTTTTCTGTGCAAGGTCTCTCCCTGGCACACTCACCTGTGTCTGTTTCCCCAGCCCAGACAATTCTCAGTAGCCTGGTGGAGCAGGGGTGAGGAAATCCTGGGAGTTGATGGCTTGGAGATTTTTGAGTGATTCACCTTAGATACTTTTCAGCAAACTACTATCACAAATTGTAAACTTTCACCTCTGAAAAGGGGTGTCTGGAGTTGTAGCTTTTACAAGAATATGGTTGAAGCTTATTTGGATCAGTTTGATTCTCATTTATGCATGCACGAGGCTGTAACACACTCAGGGATATGACCACATCTGACTGTCCTTAATCTCTTTGGAAGCTGGAATTCAAAATTCAGATTCCTCTACAAGGTTCAAGGTGTATCTTCAAGATGAAAAAAACCCACATGTTGAGCAATGAGGATCCACCTCTGATGATACCACAACCCTGGATGCATTTTGACACATTTTTCCAGGCCGTGGAAATGGCAACCACTCCAGCTACTTTGTCATCTCCTGAGGAAAAGAATTTTGTAAGTCATATTAAGTTAACTCTGCTCAGCTGTGAATGATGAGAGGGGCAGAGGGACAATCTGGATAGTTTTACAGATGAGCTGTCTAAGACAGAAGAATGGGATCTTGGAAAGCACCAGAAGTTGTCATATGCATTACAAGTGGGTGGGAGTGCTGGAGTGATCTGCAGGGGTAAAAATACCCAGCAAAGTAAGGGGAAAATTTCCAATGCAAAAAGAGCTTTGAATTCTTACAGAATGACCAAAAAAAAGGCTTTCATCCCCAGGAGACAGGCCCTGGCTGGTGGTGCAGCTCCTGGCCTGAGGGAAAGGTTCCAGCTGCAGGGAAAGCAGCTCTTGCTGGGCTGCCCCGGTGTTGCAGGGGCAGCAGCACCGAGACCTGCAGGGTGGGGTCTGCAGCCCCCAGCCCAGCCCCAGGGGGGTAGGAGAGACCTTCACCCTCCCTGTGCCTGGGCCCATCAGCACAGATGTGCCATGGATGTCCTGCCTCATCCACCTGCTTCTCCTCTGGGGTAAAATGGTTGGATTTTTGGGGTGCAGGGAGAACCGTGGAGGCCACTAACTTTAACTTCAGCATGATTTTCAACAGTGCCTCCCAAATATTCCTTTAATTCAAAATGATACTTTGAACACTTTGAACAATACTCTTACTTGGTATTTTTTCTTAAAATTCTCTTCTGAAAGGTTTGTTCAGAAGCTTTTTGAACATTCAAGTCATTATGTTCACTTCAAAGACTATTAATTAAGCTACTCTGAAGGTTAGAAGGAGTCAACAAAATGAAACATAAGACAGATTACATAAGGACTTCATCTTTTGGACAAAGGCCAGGGTTAAGAAATCCCCTAAGAAAATGAAATCAATGATTATTGACTTTTCAGCAGGTAACATTTAAATGAGAAGATAACTTCACCAGTGAAGACCTTTGCACCAGTGGCAGCCTCTGGAGAGCCTTACACTGAAATATCTAAAGAATCTACCAGGATTTTCAGAGTTCCTTTATGAATTAAGCTATTAATAAAAATATATGATTAGTGGCAAGCATCTGCCTAATTCCCTCCCATTTAGCAGATGCAGATATGATCAGTCATGCCCTGCAAAGTGTCTTTGCATTAAATTATTACAGCTCCCAACTCTACGTGTATCTGTAGGAATTTCAGAACAAGCTCTGTCAGACTGCATGGAGGAGCTGCTAAAGGGGATTCTGGATGCTTTAACGTGCTGATTAATGCACAGGTAATTGTCTTTCTTAGGAAAACATCTACTGAAATATTTAATGATGCTCTTCTGTAGGACTTGAGGACAGACACCCCACCAGCAATGAGCTTTTCCATGCTCGTTCATCTTGGCTGTTCTGAGCAGATGAAACACAGGTCATGGAAAAACCATTACTGAAAGATGCAGGTCCTGGGACCTTGAAACAAACCACTCTCCCTGGGGTTGCTTTTGTTAGAGGGGAGTCAAAGAATGAGGTTTTTAAACTGTTTTGCTAATACTGGTAGATGCTTCCCACAGAACAGTTTAAATGTTTTTCTGCAATGTTACTCCAAGATAACTGTTCTGGCAAAGAGGTCTCAGTGAGTTTAACAATACCAGGGGTTTTAAATGCCACCTTTACTTTGACTTCTTCTAGCTTAAAAATGAGTCTCACACAAACCTGCTGCATAGGGAGCTCCTGGGAAGGCAGAGCTGGAGAAAAGGTTGCCAAAGCTGATCACTGCTTTCAGACTAGTTCACATCACCAGGTTGAGGTGATCTCCTTTACTGAGCCATAACTCAATGCTTCTTCAGCTGTGTTTGCAAAACACCTCATTGGTAGCTGGGAAATGTAGCTATGGAATGAAAAATCAGGAGTCCAAGTCCTCTTCATCCCTGGCTGGAGCCTCAGAAAGAGGTGAGTTCTGAGGATCTTGGAGTCCCCTTTATCTTGTGTGAACAACATTCCTGAATCCCTGGGTCTAGAATGATCCTGAAAAGGTCTGAAAAACTGGTGAAACAGAGGGCTGGGAAGCTGCAGCACTTGTGTCAAATGCAGGGAATGAAAGAATCAAATGGGGACCTTGGGAACCACCTAAAGGGGTTCACATATATTTAATTTTTCAAGGCTTCTTAAGTCATTTGAATGTGCTCCTGTTGCTGGTACAATGGCAGTGAAGACAGAGGGTGACAAACGTGCTGATCTAACGTATGACTTGTGAATGAAAAGAGATTCATTGCTGTAGCAAATCTGTAAGATGGGACTAACTCCCTTTTCCCCAACAGGTCCTTGCTACAAATACATTCACGCTTCAGATTCTCAGGATTGCAGACTGCAAAAATGAAGTAGCTCTGTTTGATCCTGCCTGCAGCCCCCAGCCCCCCTCACACAGCCCTGGAGGTTGTAATCTCAGATTGACAACCTGAATTTACAAACTGAAACAGGCAATGAGGCTGGTTTGCCAGTGCAGTAACACTGGGCAACTTATAAATGTGCATGAGACATTATTTATTTAGCAGTGAGCTTCCTGGGCTGGGAACACTTCATGTTTTCAAAACAGCAGCCTTAATGAGAGATTTATTTAACTTATTTAGTGATGTTTCTAACGTGGTCGTCAGCTTGTTTTATAATTTTTTATTAATTGTTTATTCTTCCCATTGGGAACTGCAGTTTCCATTAACAGATAGAATAAACAAACTGCACAGTTTTGGTGAAGTAAAAAATGGCACTAAATGGCAGAGGAGGGGAAATATTTATTCCCCACACTGGCTCCAAAGACCTGGAACATCCCGTGGGTGCTGAGAGCCTCAGGATCCTCATCTGAGAGATCTGATCCCTCTCCTGGCTTTTCAGGAGATGGTGGAGCAAAAGCTGACTGGCTCTCCAGGGGATGGGCAGCAAAGGGTCTTTTCCCCAGCTCTCCCTGTTTTTCTCTTGGGTACAATCAGTCCTTTTCTGTAGTAAAAGACTGTCTCAAAGATTGGTGTGTATGCCCCTGTTAGTTATTTATTTAGTGGTATATATCATTATTTATCTTCTTGGAATTAGGAAGATGACCAAAAATCTACTTTCTCTTTCTTAAATTTATTCTATTTTTTAGGTGGGTTGAAAAAATTAATCTGTCTTTCCATGAATATTAATGAAATTGTGGGCAAAATAAGCTATTTAATCTAGCAGAGGAGATTCTCAGCTGACTGAAAATTTCAAAGGTATATAAAGAAGGAAAGAAAAAGCCTGCACTGGCTCCATAAATCTTCAGTCCCCAAACCAGCAGATGAATGAAACGAGTTACAGAGAGTCCCATTGCACTTATGGAGGATGCTTCTGATAAAGATCTGATCATTCCCAGGGAAGAAATAAGGGGCTTTTCAAAACCCCTCACAATAAGTTATTTCTTATCAAGTTAATGGTTTTATCCTTGTTGGCTTCTGAGAACCCTTATTTTTCATAACCTCAGCAGGAGCTGAAGAGGTGAGACAACCAGCTGGCCTTCCTTTGGCACTTGCAGGACAAGGCCCAGACAGTTTGGAAATTGCTTGGAACTCCAGGGCAGAGAACAGGACTTTGTGTTTCCCACGGAGGAAACACTAAATATATTCTCCATAAAAGTGAAAAACATCATTAAAGTGTTAAGTCTCTTGCTAATATCTCCATTACAATTCTTTCCCAGAACAATCAGTTCCTCAATAAGGCAGTGGCTGCTGTAGCCTGGGAGTTGTTAGACGTGTCCTTCCTTGCCCCTTCATACAGAGGTTCTGCTTTTCTGCTCTGAACTGCACACGTTTGTCCTGCTCACCCAGCCAGACCCTCACACTTGCAGTCACTTTGAAGCTAGAGATGCACAACCCAATCAGCAACCTTTCGTATCACCTGTATTTCCTTCTTTACACTTAGTTATTTTTTCTTGCATTTCTTGCTGATTATGTCCCCTGAAAGAATTCTGATGTTCCTGTCCATAGACTGGTCCAGCACTGCATAACTTCTACTCAAGCAGAAGACAAAGTCTTTGCCTGCTTAATGGACCCAAAGGAGATAAAAAGTACCTGAATCCACGAGCAGGTTTGCAGACCTAAACCCTTCATTACCAGGGTAATCTTGCACACCCAGCACTTTAAGAGATTCAAAAAATAAATAAATGACACAGAGTGAGCAGTTGCCAGGGCGACAGAAACGAGATGATGTGTGGAATGACTCAACTGAGGTGGTAAATGATAAGAAAACAGACTCCTGACTGACAGAATGTCCAGAAAGAGAAGGGCCTGATCACAGGCACCCAGGGAATCTCATCCCTCCCCTCCTTCCCCTGCTCCCCACAGTGATGAGTCTCCAGCCCAAAGGAGCCGTCTCGGCGTGGGTGTTTGAGACGCGCGCCAGGCTCCCCCTGACAGCAGCTCCTCTGCACTAATCCCAGGCATAAAATAGCTCTGAACGGGGGACCTCTGTCTCTTTCTGAAGTGAGAATCACAGAGCTCTGAAGCAGAGCCTGTGACACCTGGAAGAGGGAATAAAGTCTCTGACTGTGCTTCTTCAGGCTGAGACAGTTTGGAAGCCTCGCTCCACACCCAGCAATCCTGACACGGACGAGCGGGTCTGTTTCACCACCTACCCACTGCTTAATGCTTCTGATGTTCAGAAAGCAGTGCCACTCATTGTCAAGGCTCTACAGCCTTTTAATATCAAGGTAAGAGGTGTACAAACAGATCGATGTCCTTTGGGCATGTTTGTTCCATGTAGATGGATGCACAAATGGGGATTTCCCAAAATGTACCCCAAATTACATACTATTTAGCTGTACTAAACCATCTCTGAGTTTTAGGTGGGTTTTTTAGTGGCATTAACCTACAACAAAATTGCCTGCTACTGCTAACACTCCCTTCTCTCACTTCTTGTACCAGAGAAAACTGTACCTGGTGGTGCCCAGCCATGGTGGCAAGGTGCAGGGCTGTCGGGACATACCTGGGGGTGCCCAGCCATGGTGGCAACGTGCAGGGCTGTGAGGGCTCCGTAGCCCACCTGCTGGATGTCCGCTCCCCCGTGCAGCAGCGCGGTCAGCAGCTCAGCGTTGTCCTGAAAGCCACACACAGGGCAAGCCTTATTTCTGGGACACGACTCCAACAGCTGCAGGAGGGAGCCCAAGGGAGCCCCCTGTCCAGGCCACCCCCTGTCCCACTGGTGCCTCTCCGGGAGCACAGGAGGGCACAGCACAGCGCGGCGGTGCCGGTGCCAGAGCTTAGCCGAGGAGCTGCAGAGCCAGGAACACCACCTGGGAAGTGCCAGCCTGCTTAACCTTCTATCAGGAAATCAGAACAGCATCTGCCACGAGAGCTTTGCAGAGCAAAGAGGCACCTGTGGGACATGTCAGGGTTGAACATCACAGTCTGGAATATAAACTCCTAAATTTGATCTGAGTTCCCTCTACAAAGCTAAGTGCTTTGGGTCAAGTCTACACATGGATTAAATTTCTAAGAGGCTCCATCTCAAAATAAGAATCATAATTCTTTAGGAAAAATGCTGTCTTTGTCCACTTTATTCCTTGCTACTGTTATTGTTGAGTCTTAGAAGATTAATACAATAGTGAAGAAAAATAATATTGCAGCTGAATGTGGAACTCAAACTTCTGAACAGCAAAGAAGAAGCAAAAAGAAGAGAAACTCTAAACCAAAATCCTTGGAGATTGTTTCTATTAATAACTAATATAATAAAAAGCACACTCCTGTATCTTAACTTGCGCTGCATGATTTAATCAATATTTCCAAGGCAGTATCATCCCTTCAGGGATGACACTGCAAAAGCACAAGCTGATTTTCTGGGCATAGGCTCTTTACAGGTCATTCTCCTATGCACTGTAAATGTGAAATTTATATTTTCACCAGAAGTAGCAGCTAGAAAGCTCAACCAGACCATTCAGACAAGTAAACGGATCAGTTCTGATTTTTTCCCATACTTTCTGTTTCAAATAATTTACCTGATAAGCTGCCAAGTGCAGAGCTGTAAATCCATTCCTTGTTAGTCTGGATGGGCGCAGTCCTTTCAGCATGAGGGTTCTGACATGGGATTTGTTTCCTTTGGGGTGAAAAGTGAAAAACAAAGTCATTTAAAAAAAAAAAATATATATATATATATATATATAAAAGAGTACAGATGAAGTAAGGAATTTCTGGATGAGTTTGAGAGCAAAGAGAAATCTGCTGAGTTGAGGCAAGTCCTAAATGCATTTTGTGAAGACAAGGCCCAGACAGTTTGGAAATTGCTTGGAACTCCAGGGCAGAGAACAGGACTTTGTGTTTCCCACGGAGGAAACACTAAATATATTCTCCATAAAAGTGAAAAACATCATTAAAGTGTTAAGTCTCTTGCTAATATCTCCATTACAATTCTTTCCCAGAACAATCAGTTCCTCAATAAGGCAGTGGCTGCTGTAGCCTGGGAGTTGTTAGATGTGTCCTTCCTTGCCCCTTCATACAGAGGTTCTGCTTTTCTGCTCTGAACTGCACACGTTTGTCCTGCTCACCCAGCCAGACCCTCACACTTGCAGTCACTTTGAAGCTAGAGGTGCACAACCCAATCAGCAACCTTTCGTATCACCTGTATTTCCTTCTTTACACTTAGTTATTTTTTCTTGCATTTCTTGCTGATTATGTCCCCTGAAAGAATTCTGATGTTCCTGTCCATAGACTGGTCCAGCACTCTGCATAACTTCTACTCAAGCAGAAGACAAAGTCTTTGCCTGCTTAATGGACCCAAAGGAGATAAAAAGTACCTGAATCCACGAGCAGGTTTGCAGACCTAAACCCTTCATTACCAGGGTAATCTTGCACACCCAGCACTTTAAGAGATTCAAAAAATAAATAAATGACACAGAGTGAGCAGTTGCCAGGGCGACAGAAACGAGATGATGTGTGGAATGACTCAACTGAGGTGGTAAATGATAAGAAAACAGACTCCTGACTGACAGAATGTCCAGAAAGAGAAGGGCCTGATCACAGGCACCCAGGGAATCTCATCCCTCCCCTCCTTCCCCTGCTCCCCACAGTGATGAGTCTCCAGCCCAAAGGAGCCGTCTCGGCGTGGGTGTTTGAGACGCGCGCCAGGCTCCCCCTGACAGCAGCTCCTCTGCACTAATCCCAGGCATAAAATAGCTCTGAACGGGGGACCTCTGTCTCTTTCTGAAGTGAGAATCACAGAGCTCTGAAGCAGAGCCTGTGACACCTGGAAGAGGGAATAAAGTCTCTGACTGTGCTTCTTCAGGCTGAGACAGTTTGGAAGCCTCGCTCCACACCCAGCAATCCTGACACGGACGAGCGGGTCTGTTTCACCACCTACCCACTGCTTAATGCTTCTGATGTTCAGAAAGCAGTGCCACTCATTGTCAAGGCTCTACAGCCTTTTAATATCAAGGTAAGAGGTGTACAAACAGATCGATGTCCTTTGGGCATGTTTGTTCCATGTAGATGGATGCACAAATGGGGATTTCCCAAAATGTACCCCAAATTACATACTATTTAGCTGTACTAAACCATCTCTGAGTTTTAGGTGGGTTTTTTAGTGGCATTAACCTACAACAAAATTGCCTGCTACTGCTAACACTCCCTTCTCTCACTTCTTGTACCAGAGAAAACTGTACCTGGTGGTGCCCAGCCATGGTGGCAAGGTGCAGGGCTGTCGGGACATACCTGGGGGTGCCCAGCCATGGTGGCAAGGTGCAGGGCTGTCGGGACATACCTGGGGGTGCCCAGCCATGGTGGCAACGTGCAGGGCTGTGAGGGCTCCGTAGCCCACCTGCTGGATGTCCGCTCCCCCGTGCAGCAGCGCGGTCAGCAGCTCAGCGTTGTCCTGAAAGCCACACACAGGGCAAGCCTTATTTCTGGGACACGACTCCAACAGCTGCAGGAGGGAGCCCAAGGGAGCCCCCTGTCCAGGCCACCCCCTGTCCCACTGGTGCCTCTCCGGGAGCACAGGAGGGCACAGCACAGCGCGGCGGTGCCGGTGCCAGAGCTCAGCCGAGGAGCTGCAGAGCCAGGAACACCACCTGGGAAGTGCCAGCCTGCTTAACCTTCTATCAGGAAATCAGAACAGCATCTGCCACGAGAGCTTTGCAGAGCAAAGAGGCACCTGTGGGACATGTCAGGGTTGAACATCACAGTCTGGAATATAAACTCCTAAATTTGATCTGAGTTCCCTCTACAAAGCTAAGTGCTTTGGGTCAAGTCTACACATGGATTAAATTTCTAAGAGGCTCCATCTCAAAATAAGAATCATAATTCTTTAGGAAAAATGCTGTCTTTGTCCACTTTATTCCTTGCTACTGTTATTGTTGAGTCTTAGAAGATTAATACAATAGTGAAGAAAAATAATATTGCAGCTGAATGTGGAACTCAAACTTCTGAACAGCAAAGAAGAAGCAAAAAGAAGAGAAACTCTAAACCAAAATCCTTGGAGATTGTTTCTATTAATAACTAATATAATAAAAAGCACACTCCTGTATCTTAACTTGCGCTGCATGATTTAATCAATATTTCCAAGGCAGTATCATCCCTTCAGGGATGACACTGCAAAAGCACAAGCTGATTTTCTGGGCATAGGCTCTTTACAGGTCATTCTCCTATGCACTGTAAATGTGAAATTTATATTTTCACCAGAAGTAGCAGCTAGAAAGCTCAACCAGACCATTCAGACAAGTAAACGGATCAGTTCTGATTTTTTCCCATACTTTCTGTTTCAAATAATTTACCTGATAAGCTGCCAAGTGCAGAGCTGTAAATCCATTCCTTGTTAGTCTGGATGGGCGCAGTCCTTTCAGCATGAGGGTTCTGACATGGGATTTGTTTCCTTTGGGTTAAAAGTGAAAAACAAAGTCATTTAAAAAAAATAAATATATATATATATAAAAGAGTACAGATGAAGTAAGGAATTTCTGAATGAGTTTGAGAGCAAAGAGAAATCTGCTGAGTTGAGGCAAGTCCTAAATGCATTTTGTGAAACCTGCAGGTGGGATGAGGCAGCCCCTCCTGGGGCAGCTGCAGGGCTGGCCAGGAACTGGCTTGTCACATCCCAACCAGGGGTTGCTAAGAACAGTTGATTTCTAAAGAAGCATCTCCTCCTGTAACACCCAGACTGTGCTGCTAAGCACTCAGCAAAGTAGCAGGTGCCTCTGGAACCTCTGGTTTCTGAGACACTTAACTGTTTTGTCCTCTCAGAAGGGAAGCCCTGCTGTCCCTCTCTACACAGGGACATGCTGAGGGATGCTCGTGCACGTCAGCAGGGCCAGCAGTCCTGCTCTTCCCTCTCTGGTGCTCAGTGGTGGCTGCAGGACACATATCTGCCTGCTGAGTAGTGAGGACTGATCCAGGAGCTTCTCTCTCTCCTTCAAGTCCTCACATCCTGTTAATAATTAATTAACACCTTATGCTTTCTTACCACCAGCCCCACCAATCACTCCAGTGCTCCCAGCTGATCTCCTCTGTGGGTGGGACCTTGCACCCTGATTTAAGAGCAGCAGAGGGACTGATGGCTCATCTGAGGATGACAGAGCAGCAATGGCAACAGAGTGGAAAATGTCACCATGAGCGAGTTTTTATGGGCATCCCAGAAGACATCTTGCACTCTTTCCTTGTGTACTCTTGATTTGTTGTCTGCAAAAATCCTATCAGCTGGTATTTTTCACTGAAGCATTCAAGTTATTCTTCTTTTAATCACTCAGAAATGAGAGACAGGTATTTTCATGATACTAGAAAGATAGATGCTGTGTGTGTGGCACAGTAGGGCTAAAACCAGTTCCCTAGCTAGAGTCTGTAGCATGTACAGAGCCCAGAAATGTAGGGCAGTGCTCTGTGGTGAGTCTCCATTTGTTAACTGATGAATAGAGCAAGTGATTCTGAATGAGCAGAACACCCTGAGTCACAGAGTAACACCTATAGATGCTTATCCAGCTGTCAACAGACAAGACAGAGAGAAATCTTCCTGACAATTATGAGACAGAACAAATCAGTAGCCACGTCAACAAAACATTTAAAGAACATTATATTTCAAATACCTACCCCCACAAATGCAGCACAGATGGAGGAGAGAGAGGCCGTTTTCTGTGCGGTAATTTAAGTTGACTTTGCAGAAGGCTTCATCAGAGCTGGAAACACAGGTTTTACATGTGGTTACTGGTTTCACCTTTCAGCACAGTTTCTTTCATTTAGAAAAAAAATTAAAAGAGAAATCTCAACATATTGTTTTGAGACACAGGGCTAAATTGATGCCATTTTACACTCTGTAAATCTAGAAATACTTTACTGAGACCCAGGGAGGACTCCAGATCCATTGTTTGCTGAGCAAACAACTGCTATTCAGTCACAGTATATACATCTAAATTCAACTAAATTAGAGAAAAGAGGGAAGACTCATTAGAAATATAAATAATGCACACAGTTTCTTTATTGATGCAATAATAAACATTTTAAAAATCTCTGTATGCATTCCAAAGTGATGAGCAGGGCATGCACGGAACTAGAGGCAAACAAGCTGAGGTAAAAGAGTAGCCAGAAAAAGCCCTTTAGCAGGTAAACTTGTGTTCCCCAAATGAGGTCACAGGAACACTCCAGGAATGTCCAGCCACAGAGGAAAAGGGTAGTGTGAAATACAGACATAGCAGGCACTGTGCTGGTAAGTGAATAATTTAGTGATTCCGACAAAAATTAAATTGCAATTAAATATTAAAGAGATAGAAATTAAAACTTTTCCTTGTGAGAAATTTTTACTTCTGTTTTTTCTTTTCCTCATGAAAACTAGGTTTTTGGGAAACTCTCAGAAAGGCCACTGTGCTCAGTCAAAACACCATCCCATTCTCCCAGTACGTTTGATCTGGGCACAGCTCCTCCCTGACGTGCTGTGATCAGCGACAGTGGCACGAGGCTCCTCTGCTCTGCAGGCCTCTCCTCCAGGGCAGCTGAGGGGAAAATCCGTCCAGGGCCTGGGAAACCAGGCCTTCCAGCTGCCTGGTCTTTGCTGGAGTGTGTTGGGTGCCCCTGGGGGCACAGGGGAGGGGGCTGCTTTGTGGATGGGGGGGTTCTGTAAGTCTCAAACTCACAGGATGTTATCATGCTCCCAAGTCGTGTCTCCTGCTCCAGTTCTCACCTTTAGAATCACATTAAAAACTCACACTCCTCATACTTAAGGTGTGGTGAAGGTTTGGCCATTTCAGCTATATATTTAACTTTTCCTCTTCTCCAATTTAAAAAAAAAAATTAAAAAAAATTAATAATAATAATAATAATAATAATAAAAGCTCCAGCTTGTTTACTCAACAATACCCATTCACAGGATTTGAGTTCTTGTGAACTGGCAAAATTTTAATGTCTTTGTGGGAAAATATTGCAGGGAAAGTTTTATACATCAAAAACTGTGATTAAAAGGCCAATATTGGGAATGAAAAAAAATGGCAGATTCCCAGTGGCCTGGGCAGCCCCCCTGGGTGCCAGGTGGTGATGCTGCCCCTTCTTGCCCCTGCCAGCTTTGCCACTTTTGTCCTGTTGGTGTTCCATAGCTTTCAGAGCAGGGACTGCAACTTCTACTCACTTCAGTTCATCAGGAAATCACCCTGTTTGCCTTGGCTTCCAACAACAATCTGATTTCTCAGTCTCAACCTTTTTTTAATAAATGGTTTTGTTATAACAGTGGAAGAAAAAAACCCCATAAATTCCTCTTGTGCTTCAGTGATGAGAAGGCTTCCAGAAATAGCCACTGACACAGCAGAGAAGTTTTTCATATAGCCAGGACTGATTTTTTAATGCAGGCCACATCTGCCTTTTAGATACTCCCCAAACCTGGCAGATCCCTTCACCCAGGGGTGGGGGCAGCTTTTGGGGCAGATATCACTGGCTGATTCCTCAAGCCTGACTAAACCAAAACCAAAACAATACCAAACAAAAAAACTTTTCTAATGCAATATAAGCACTGTCACTAATTCCCACTGCTTCTGGGGAGCAGGGCAGGGCTTTTTCCCTACTGAGCCTCAAGGAGCCTTCCATGGGGCAGCAGCATGGACTGATGGAGCTGCCAAAGCTCTGCTGACCTTGGTGTTCATTCTTTCTTTGTTCTTATGCCTAATGCAGGAATTAAGCAATTTCACCAGGTATTCCATTGCCTTGCTTATCTAAAATAAAAGAGTATGCTGGCTCCAATTTGTTGAGATAATTAGTTTTACTACTAAACAGGCTTAAAAAGAGGCAAGTACCAAAGTACTTTACAGGGTCACAGCTGAAGTGGGGCAGGAAACCCACTGTTGCCTTTCACATTTCAGGCTCAAAGAGTGGTAATTATGGTGCCTGAAAGTGAGCATGATTAATAATTTATATGACCAGCTGGGCTTTATGAGCTTGTGATTTATTTCTGCTTAAAATCCTCTATTTTTTTCAGCTGGTTTTGAAGTCTGAAATTAGGTAAATACCTGATCATTTTCCTAACTTATTCCAAGTCAATGAGCTGGCTGTTTTCTGCATTGGAGCTTTTCAGATAACAAACAGGTAAGTAACTTACTAATTACTTGGTCGTTAGCACATGCTGTCCTGAGAAATTGATTACAATAATGAAATTGAAATCCTCTTTCAGAAGATAATCTGCTTTTGCAGTTAAAATTTGTTACTTCAGCAATATTTCCATCTGAAGAAACAGAGTAGCAAAGCTGAAAAAGCACACAACAAAATCAGACATCCCAATAAAGCTAATTAATTTACAAAAATATATAGGTGTTTGTGTAAATCATTAACAGCCACTAATTTTGGTACTGTGCTGTGGGACCCTGGCCCAGAACTGAAATGACAGATTCCCAAAAATAGACATTACAGAACATGCATTCCATAGGTGAGAAACTCCCTCCATAAGAAACACCTGGAACTGAAAATATTGTTTTAGCAAATACTCAGTTGAAGGAAACAACAAACAGGATTCCAGAATATTTTACCTAAAAACATGCTTCAGTTCCAGCAGCTCCTTTTCTTTGATTTGCAGGTCATCTTCCAGTCGCTCTATGATTATTGCATAAGACTCACTGACCTTCTTCTTCCATTCATCTAACAACAAAACAAACCCCAATCCATAAAACATTCCAAACCATCTCAAAACCAGGAACTCAAATCAGATTGCTCTGAAGCACTTCATTTTTGCACACCCAACTGTACATTCTTTCATATATTCTTCTATGAAAGCAGGAAACTTGAAAATGTCACAGCTGTGCAACCACTCTTGCTGCAGCCCCTGCAGGCAGATACACACTGATTTCATGGACAACTAATAGATGTGATTCCTCATCAGAAATATTTGTAGCCTGGACAAGACAAAACCTAAACCTTTGGTTGCATTTGTTAGCTCTTGTCTCCTAAATCTTAGCATAGACATGCAGCATCAAACGGTTGCAAACTTAAAGGTTTTCTAATCAAGTATGAGTTAAATCAACATAATATTCTAAGTTAGTATGATCTTACACAATTATTGCCCAAAGAAATTTAGTTCACTACAGACCATCTGCCATTTGGGCCAAGCTGCTCTTGTAAGCCAAGAACAATACAATACCTTACCCTTCAGCTCGGGAGTGAATTAGCAATCAGTTATTTCCTGAAATATCATTTGCTTCTGGTAAATGGATGTATGGATTATTGCATTTAAAAAAACAACATTAATTACCAGTGCAAGTTTGGGTTGGTCTAGATTTATAATTTCCCATTTGTCCAATAGATCTTCTTTGTTTTCAGCAAAGTTCTTGCAGTAATATGATTCCTTGTTCAAAGGCAGTGACAGTCCTACTGAAAAAAAACTCCTGATAGTCTCTGGCTAAAAATAAACCCTGTGCCAAATGGAATGTCATGCAACAATGACACGGAGCAAAACGGCTTGTGCTGTTGACTGTAAAAGAATAATAAATGTATCTCATCAGCTGGCTTGGAACTCTGCTGTCTGTTTCACCAGAAATTTTGGCTTTCATCTGTTGAATACCTAACAGTGGTGGGAAGCAGGTAATTGGGCCACTTGCTGCCAGATTTGTAGACAAAAGGGAACTGAAGAAGTTGAACACCAAGGGTACTGTCAGGGTCTGCAGGGAGGGCTGGGGGAGCCAGTTTGGAGAGGCCAGCCATGACCTCCACCCATGACATCACAGCAGGGGTGGCTCAGGAGTGTCTGGGTCTCTTACTTGGGAAGCGCAAATTGCATCACACCAGAGGACACTGGCTCTGCAGCTGAGTGATGTTTGGGCACGTTGCTGTGCCAAGGCAGTGCCACTGAGCTGGCCCAGGACGTGAGCTGGCTGCCAGGAGGCCAGAGCTTTCATTCTCTGCTCTCTGGGGGCACAGACGGAGCCAGCACTGAGGAGCCAGCACTGAGGTTCCCCCTCCCCAGGCCCAGGGAGCTGAGCTGGCACCACTGGCAGGGCAGGGAGGAGGGTCCTGGGGTCCTGCTGCTCCTGCTGCCCCTCCAGAGGAACTTCTCCAGCAATGGATGGGGACACAAGCTGCCTTGTCCGTGTTCCAAGCAGACCACACACCAGACAACTACATACCAGGATCTACAGACACGTAACTGAATCCTGTGCCCAATCTGACCTATCCTGTTTGCAGGTGTGTTATCCTGGAGCCAGTGTCAGAGTGGAGCTGTGAAACCCCCCTGACCTGGCTTGCTGGAAGGGGGAAGGGAGCACACTGGGCTCTGTGTGTGCACCTACCTGCCAACAAACCACCACAAGATGAATCCAGGCTGTGTGCACGGATGTGTTCCTGGAAGAGCCTGTGCTGGGGAGCTGGGACAGGTTGGTTAACAGCAAGGTAATATTGCTTTTCACCTGCACAGGCTGAATCTCCTCAATGATCTGGTTAACACGTCTGCTCATCTATTGTCTACCCTTTTTGTATCCATCTCCCTGTTTTCAGGAATAACTTTACAGGTATTGTCCCAGACAACTTGGGATTTGTGCTGCTTTCTGAATGTGTCTCTTTTCCTCCTTTTATTGTTTGTTTTTTAAGGAAGTATTTGGTATACATACATGTGTATATATAGACACAAATAGGTATGTATACATTTGTATATATCTACTTACATATTTACAGTGTGCTGATTGGCCTTGGCAGGTGCTCTGTGTGTAACTCCTCAGTCTCCTCACAGTGAGGGATTTCAGGCAAGAAGATCTACACATGTCACACTGCACATGCACACACTCCTCCTGCATCCCCCCCCAGCCAGGCTTGCCCTCCTGGGGCAGCTCTGACACAGCCTGAGCTCACCCCTTCCTTTGCATGGACTTACCCCTAAGCCAAGGCTGTGCTTCAGAAGACCATGGACTGCTTTGACCATGCACCCCGTGATATTCAACCAAATATTTGCAAAAAAAGCCCCAGACTTTTTTGGTGACTGATCCCCCACATCTAGTTGCCAAGCAACTGGAAATCTAGGAATGCAGCAGCGAGGCAGGGATCTCCTCTCCTGCTGCTCCCTTAGCTGGGTGCTCTTGGTTTCAGAGCCTTCAGCCTCTGAGCTGCAGCCCTGGCACAAGAGCTTGGGCCACCTCTGCCAGCACTGGGGGGCTCCGAGGCAGCCAGGACACCCCCTCCCCAGCACAGCTGCCCTCAGCAGCTCAGCACTGGAGCACCTGGCCTGGCAGGGGAGCCTTCTGAGCCCTGCTGGTCCCTCAGGCAGGACAGTGCTCATCACAGCAGCGTTTTTACCTTTGACTGCCAAATACGACTGATCAGCCTTTTTCTTCTTAGCAGCTTGTAGGAGCTGCTCTGGAATGTGGGTCTGGTGAAGTGGGCAGGGGGACAGGGGGAGAAGTGCAGAGTGGGGAGGTTGGCAGGGGGACAGCAGGAGGGGTGAGGCTCCCCCACTGTGTCTGTCACAGGAGGTGGGATCCAGCAGCTCCAAGGGTGGCTCCAAGATTAGTGGAACATCACTTGAAGAAGCAGGAGCTTCCAGCAGAAGTGGGCTGAGGGGAGGTGACTCACACAGGCCACGTGAAGCAGTTGCAGAGTAATTGAAACTAGGGGAGAAAAAAAGACAACAGTTAATAATAATTGCAGAGCCTGTTTGCAGCCAGTTTGCAAAGAGAAGAAAGGGCTGGCTGCACTGGCTGCTGGGTTAGGCCAGTTCTAATCAACATCTACACAAACAGCACTAAAATGTCAAGAGCAACATTTTTCAATGGGTGCAGTCTTCAGATGTACTATTTACAGAATACTGAGCTGTACCAATTTATTTGATTAATTTTCTAGAAGTTTTACTGCAGTTTTATGTTTGGGATGTGCAGCTGTTGTCCAGTCTTACACGAGAAACGTCACAAATTATTTTCCCATTTCTTCTTTTAAGCACCCTTCATCAGGAGTCTTGACAGGATTAAGTCTTTTGAAATGATCATTATTTCAAATTAATTAGAACATAGCCATATCCATCACTTAGTTCAAGAGGCTGTAAGTTCCTCCTATGCAATTCAGTGTCATTCTGGTGACATTCAGCTATGTCACAGAACATGGAAACAGTGTTAAAATAAAATGCACCTTTATGAAAATAGAGTCCAAGGAACTCTGTAGCCCATGCCATGAAACAGGTGTTTACAATGGCAGTGGCTTAAAGAAGTGTACAGAAGAAGAGCATTGCTATTTTTGCTCTCACAATTCTACAGTGGCATTTGCACAGGGATTAGTCTCTCACGTGTGCAGAGAGGAGAAAATGAAGCTGTTGCATCAGAGATTTAGGAAGGAGAAGAGGCTGGAACTGCTGAGCTCCAGTACAGACAAACTCCCTGTCCAAGTCAAGCACATTTCTACATGGATCCAAATGATTGCTGAAGCTCACTTTCTTTCACCCATTCCCCAAATCCCTCTGGCACAGGTATCTTTCAGCTGCTCATTTTTCTTTCAGCTGCCTTCCCTGGTGTTCTTTTTTAAGTGTCCAATTTCTCAGCTTTCAATTTCCTGCCTAAAAGGTTACAGAAATAATCCTCTCCTCTCAAGTTTCCTGGTGTAATATATACAGTATGGCTACATCTCTGCTCATTATAGCATGCTCTCCAAGCATTCAGGGAAATCATTAAGATGATGTTCATTATGAGCCCTATTATTGCACTACACAGCAAAACTAATTAAATAAAGAAAGCTGACATGAATAAAATCATTAAACACTCATCTTGGCTTTATTTGAGACTGTACCAGCCTGAGCTGCATTTCAGGATGGATGGAACCAGCCAACAATCTAGAGGCTCATACAAAAACTGCACCCACCTAGGAAACTCAACAAGCCTTAACCAAATCAAACTCCAGATTTCAGTAGCTGCCTCGTGTTCTTAGGAGGTCCTACCTGACTGGCATTTCAGCATTTCATTCTTGATTACTCAGACTAGAGGAAAACACCAGGTCAAGATGTCTTGATGGTCTTGTCTTCAGAATCTGATGCTACAAACCAGCAACCCCATCATTACTACTCTCCTGCTTTTAAGCTTTACCATGTAGCCTTGCACAAGTCTCACAACTTCCTTGGGGCCAGTTTATCCCACTTGGTGGCACGAGAAACTTGTTGTCATTTACCTTAACAGCAGCCTGTGGAAAAGGAGGGCCAGTTGAAGCTTGGGAACTGCAGCTCCAGTGCTTGCTGTGCCCACAGCTCCCAGCAGAGCTCCAGAGGCCACACAGCAGGTGGGGAGGGTCCTGCAGGGGCTGTAACTGCTGGCAGGATCCACCACCAGAGCCCTGCAGCTCTTCTGCACTTCAGACACCCACGTCCCTGGGGACTCCAGAAGCCTTTACTCCATCAACATGCTTGACTTGGGCAAAACCTGCTGAAATCAAAAGCAAAACTCCTAGTGACCTCAATCAAATAGGGAATGGATTCAGATTTTATTCTGAAGCTGACAAAGGAAAAATCAACAAAACTAGCTACTTTCTATAGCTGGACAGAGAAACCCCACATTTCAGCACTTAAAGCTCAAAAAAAGCCTGCAGGAAAACATGCCTAATGTCTACCAAGTCCTTCCAACAAAATTCATCAAAGTGCAATGGATGTGTGGTTTAATTTTTAAATTCCACCAGCCCTTGCC